TTTCATGATGAGGTGGTTAATAAATGCTTACTAAAAAGGTTGGTTAAGTGTATATCAATATATTAAAAAATATTGATTGATGGTTAGGATCAAATATTTATAATCACTATGGGTGTTTGATAAATAGCTGTTAGCTGATTGAGTTAGTGTGTTTGATTAGTTGATTGTAGAAAAAATATTTTGTAAACTAGTTGTTAGATAATATTTCCTCCATCCTTAATTGATCGTCTTACTTTCTTTTTGCACGATTTTTAATACAACATGACAAATGTTACTTACTTTTCAATTTAGTCCCTCAAAAGTAGGTGTTGTTTGTACAAAGTACAATTGTACTTACCTCTAGAATTTTTAAAAGTCAAAAGGGTAAATTGGGAAATATAGAGTGATAGTCATGTTCAATTTTAAAAATATGACACTAATTTGGGACAAACCAAAGAGGAAAGTAAAACAGTTAAAATGGGATGGAGAGAGTAGTTGATTACATAGAAAATGACTTCTCAAAAAGTTTATCAAAGCAGTTTTTTGAATTTTAGTGTTTTGAAACAATAAACTATTAAAAAAAAAAACTAAATAATTAAATACTTGTATTGGTTGTTTAACTACGTCAGACAGTTAATAATGGTCAAACAAGTCAAAATTGATTGATAGGCTAAGTATATATCAAGAGATCATACGGGTAAAGAATATATATTCATAAATTCAAGACAATCAACCATTCAAAAAATATATATATAAACATGTAACATAATTTCGAATTATAAAGGTCATGTTTGGTAACATAGCTGATAAGCCAATTTTGACTAGTTTAACTAAGTTTGACTGGTTTGATTAGTCAATAAACTTTAAATGTTTGGTAAAATGATTTATTGTATTAGTTATTTGAAAGGAATAAGTAAAATTTCAATTAAAGCAAAGGTTCAATACAAGTAGGAACATAATGAGACCATATAGAAGGACCAGTAGCAGAACGAGCAGCTCTAGCCATAGCATGAGCTAACTGATTCTCTGATCTATGAACAAACTGAATAGACACAAACGCAAAGTGTCGTTTAAGGTCGCGGCATTGCTGGATAACGCAACCTGCACGGGAAAAATCCAAAAGAGAACCATTAAAGAGCCTGCAGAGTGCAGACGGTTCGGCAATCAGATAGAACCACCACATTCAAAAGCCGTCATTCATAAGCCCACGAAAGAGCCTCCTTAATCGCGATAGCCTCTACCAGGTGGGCATCCTGTACACACCGTATTGGACCATTCTTCGCCGCAACATAATTGCCATCACTGTCCTTTAGGACAACTCCATAGCTTGCTAGGCCGTCGTTCGGGAATACAGCCGCGTCAACTAACAAAGTAAAAGCATCATTTGGGACTACTGCATGAGATCGTGCGGCCGAATTCAGAGCTGAAGCAGATAGGCGGTTCCCAGCAAGGGGTTGCCAACTTTCCAGTATTCTAAGAGATTCCATACTAGCTGCTGCTGCATTCCAATTCTTTTGAGACCAAACCATACAGTTTCGTTCACACCAAATACACCAAAGCCTAGCAGCACATTGGATCATAACAGTTTCGTCTCCCATTAATCTTCCTGCTAGCCAATCTCCAAAACCCTCATCACCTATAGGCATCAAACAATTTGGAAGAGATTGCCAAAGAGCAGCAACCTGGGTACAATCACACATTAGATGCCTCAAAGATTCATCATGAAGGCGATAGAGGGGGCAAATAGTGTCCACCTCAACGTGACAGGTCGCCAACACAGTCAAAGTGGGTAAAATTCCATGCAAACATCTCCATAAAAAAATTTTCACATTAGGCGGAATTTTCAGTTCCCATATTGCCTTCCTGCTGTCAACGTTGTCCCCATAGTGTTCTCCTCCGTCAGTAAACGATAGCCTTGTTTCATTGAGTACATACCTCGTATGTCACCATGCCAACACCACCGATATTCAAAGGTAATTGCAACTGGTATTTTCATGATAAGATCAACATCCCTTAGGCTCCAATATTGTAGATAGTAGGTCAGAATTCCAGTCATTTAAGTTTGGATCAATCAGATCACTCACCTTCATAGCTGGATGGTCAATAGTAGTAGGTGTGTGTATAAATGGATCAGTAGTGCAAGGCAGCCAAGGTTGATTCCAGACAGTGGTTGATGCCCCATTACCAATTCTTCAATACCTCTTGGCCTGCTAAAATAGAACGTCAACAATAGCTAGGATTGGCTCCAATGCTAGCCTCCATAAAATCAGAATGTGGGTAGTATCTAGCTTTATATATTCGTGAAACCAAGAACTGGATATTTGTTAGGAGGCGCCATCCTTGTTTAGCCAATAAGACTATATTAAATTTATGAAGCTTCTTGAATCCCATTCCTCCATTTATTTTAAGATCACACATGCGACCCAAAGAAATCCACCTTATGCCACCACCCCTTCTTCCTCCGGTTTCCCACCAAAATTTGTTCATAGAGCGCTCCAGCATATCACAAAAAGAGACGGGTAGATGATAGATGCTCATAGTATATATAGGGAGAGCTAGAACCACACTCTTTAAGAGAATCTCCTTCCCTGCCCGGGAAATAATCTTCTTGTTCCATCCACCTAAACGGGTTGCCATCTTAGCCTGAATAAAAGAAAAAACTTCTTTTTTTGTTTCGACCAATCCCCATAGGAAGACCAAGATATCTTCCAATGTTATCAGTTTGCTAGACTTGAAATATGGTTGCAACTCCACTTTTCACTGCTGCAGTGGTATTTCTACTAAAAATAGCACATGATTTATTATAATTTACTCTTTGTCCAGAAATCTCCTCATAAGTACTTAAACAAGCCTTTACTGCATTTGCTTCACTAATTGTGGCTTTAAAGAAAAGCAAGCTGTCATCCGCAAAAAACAAATGCGAGACGCCAGGCGCTCCTCTAGCCACCACACAAGGGGTTATCAGCCTTTGCCTCATCGAGTCCGCTAACAAGTAGGACAATCCTTTTGCGCACAAAATGAATAAGTACGGAGACAATGGATCTCCTTGTCTTAGTCCGCAAGAGGGGATGATGGAATCAGACAACTCCCCATTTACAACAACTTTATACCTGACCTTTGTAACACATCTTAACAGAAGTTCAATCCATTGAACCCCAAAGCCCATACGTAACATTATTTCTTTTAAGAACGGCCACTCCATCTTGTCATATGCTTTCGCAATATCTAACTTGAGTGTGCACCATCCATCCTTCCCTTCTCGCTTCCGGTTCAGGTAATGAATGATCTCCAACGCAATGAGTACATTATCTGTGATAAGACACCCGGATAGAAATGCACTCTACGAATGGGAAATTACTTTGTCAAGGACCTCCTTCAATCTATTGGCTAGCATCTTCGAGAGTATATTATATATGACATTGCATAACGCTACGGGCGTAGATTACCCATTGAAACCGGTGCTGATTTTTTAGGTATTAGAGTGATAATCACATCGTTCATCCCCTCGGGAAATTCCCGGCCTTGAACACAGTCAATGATAAAACGTGCCACATCTACACCAATTTCCGGCCAAAAGTGTTGGAAGAAAGTCGGACTATAACCATCAAGTGTATATTTAAATCAACATTCTCATTATGTAATCTCATGTGTTACTATACTCAAATGCAATCTCGTACAATACTATACATCATTCTCATATGCAATCTTGTGCAATACTATACTCATACTCATATGCAATCTCGTGCAATACTATAATCATATGCAATCATGTGCAGTTCTATATTCATATGCAATCTCGTGCAATACTATATATATATATATATATATATATATATATATATATATATATATATATATATATATATATATATATATATATATATATATATATATACATACATACTCATACACTCTTTATAAAAATAGAGTACTTTCTGTGGATGTCTCTTTCTTTCTTTCTTTCTTACTTTTGAGTCTCTCTTGACTCGCTTTCTTTCTCTTGAGTCTCTCTTGACTCACTTTCTTTCTCTTGAGTCTCTCTTGACTCACTTTCTTCTTTTGAGTCTCTATTGACTCGCTTTCTTTTCTTTTGAGTCTCTATTGACTCGCTTTCTTTTCTTTTGAGTCTCTATTGACTCGCTTTCTTTTCTTTTCGCTCGTAGACGGCTCAGGGTTTCACCAAAGCGTGAATTGCCCCATCGGGAACGGCGTAAGTCCGACCCAATATCTCCTACTGTCTACGAAACCAATCTCGTGGTTCTCGCGCTGTGGAATCAGGTATCGAAATTTAAGTGTACACACCCCCTAACTAGGATTCCAAGCCTGGCGGGCAGTTTCCAACCTCGTAATGTGGGAATACGCCACGTTACAAATACTGGGACCGCAATGTCCGTAAAATCATCCGAGAGGACATAGTCCAAACGGGATCCTCCAAAACCTCACCGATATAGATAATACATAGATATATCTCTCATGCATCAATTTCATGCATGCAATAACTCTACTACTTCCCAATGCATCAAAGAATGATATACCACATGCTTATGGTTTTTGAAAATATTTCTTGGGCTCATGTTGGCCCCTTATGCATTTTTTGAAATATGACATATGTGAGATGCCAAATACTCTATAACATGCTTCTAACCCATGTATAAAATAACATGAAATACTCAAGAATATAACATCATGATCGGTTTGCAATGTAGCAAATTCTATACATTTCTAACAACAAAATATGCTTCGAATCTCATTGATCAAATGTCATAATCTAGTCATGCTTCCATAATAAATCATATTCTCATAGGATCTTGCTTCTCTACTCAACACAAAAATATCAACAGATCACATTATCAAGTATTTCTTGTTCACAGTGAACTTAGCCAAAATTATACTGTGTACCAAATTCTTCACAATTCCTTCATAACTTACTCATTTTTTATCCAAATTCCACGAAATCAATGGCAAAACGTGCGTCGAGACGATCTCGAAGAGCCGAGCCACAAGGGCCCGTAACACTTGGCCCGAAACGACACGTAGCTGAGCCACAAGGGCCCGGCCACTACACAAAATCTCCTCAGAATCAAACTCAGGTACCTGGGGCGGGACTCCTCAAGAGCCGCCCCATGAGACCCGTTACACCATCGGGTCTAGGTGACGGCCCTCCTCTAGGGCCATGCCTTAGACCCGTGTAACCACGGCTCTAGCCGGCGGCCCTCCTGATGGGCCGCGGCTAGGGCCGTTAGTCTGATCTGACATTGTGTGTGCACCAGATGACATTTTCATCTGCAAACTCAAACCAAACAAGTCCAAAACATTCTCAACAACTCAAAGGCAAATACTAGATCACTTCTAAGCTTAAACAAACCACAATCTCATAATTTCTACTCATTTCTACTCAACAACAATGCTTCATAGAGCCAAAAGTTTAAGAAGGAAAACCATGGGGTTATACACTTTATAGATCAAAAGTTCTTGGTAAAATCTTTATAGGGATACATGGTATTTCCCAAAATACACGATGTTACTAAGTATTTTTAGGAAAATAATAGAATAAGTTCCAAATATCTTTGTGATCAAATATATATCTCATACATAGTTGTATGTGCATATATTCTCAAAATCAAGTATAAAATTCCCCAAAAACATATATACTCATATATATAATTCTTGAAATAGAGGTTTTTTGGCATATCATAGCTTTTGGTAGTTCAAAATCCTTCTCAACATATTTATGATTTTCTTAGGAAAATTCTTTTGTATAAAAATAGTCCTTCAAGTCCAAATAATATAATAAATACTCCAAGATAATTACTCAAAGGTTGAAGTAGCTCAAGTGGAAGGGATTCTAATTTATAAACAAGAGGTTAGGGGTTCTAATTCAGAAAACTCGACACTAGGATTCGAAGGATTCGATCCCAACTCCACATGGTTAGAAAACCAGTGAGTTATAATAGGCCTTGGTAACAGATTATGTATAGATTCATTACAAGGGTCCGTTGCGGCAGCTAAGTGATGTATGTGCTCTCTGTTTCCCTTCTCCAAACAACAGTAGATCATTTCAACAACAAACAACTTACATTTCATCATTCTAAGCACCCAAAACACACACACGCACACACACACACACACACACACACACACACACACACACACACATATATATATATATACACACACACACACACACACACATTTGAACAACTAAAACATAGGTTCTACCTCAAGCTTCAACCTCAAGAATTCTTCCATCTCCAACCTCAAGCTAGGTCTTCTTCTTTACCATCTCCATTTCTCAAGCAACAACCAACACAAACAAACACATCTAGCTTAGATAATCTCATCTTAGAAATAAGCTAACCAAAGGAAATGGGAGAAGATATCTTACCTAGTCTTGAAACCTAAGCTTGGGAAGAAGAAGAAGCTCCCAAAGAATAAAGAAGTTGAAGATGATATGGAGATGTAGAGAGAGACACGAGAGCTGCAGATTTTCTTGAAAATGAATAGTGCACAAGGAAAGCTATCTCTTATACTTAGGATTTGGGGGTAAGAATGTAAAACAAAATTGTAGGGTTCACCTTGCATCATGAACCATAGTCTAGAAAGATGATTTTTGAATAACTTGGGGTCAAAATGTATTTTTTTTTTTTCCAAAAAAGATTTCCAAACAAATGCTTGGTTCAGATTTCTCCTGGTCTCACTCAGATTGGTTTCTGAGTTTAAAACTTGGTACGAGAATTACCCGAAAATTTAGGATTTTAGATTTAAAATAAATCCCGATGCTGAATTTACTTAAATGTGGCCCAAAATAATTTATACAACACCGATTTTATCGCACAAATTTTTACGGAGTGAAAAATGGCTATTTCGAAATTTTTTAAAATTGGATTCATGAAATTAAAATTTGGGTTGTTACAATTACATTCTTCCGCTTTCTATTCGACGCATAAAGGTGATAGAACTTTGTGTTTCTATCACCTTTGTCCAACCAAAATTGATTGGCACGCTACTTCCAAAAGATGTTCAGCTGGTCATGGAGTTGACAAATACGGTAGTCGATTTCTCAAAATTCCAATAGAGAGTCATCATCTCGTCTATCCCTCAACATGCTTAGACGGGCTTGGAGAGTGGCAATCTGTTTTTTAGTCTTTTTAGCATAGCTACCACCCCAAGATTTAAGAGCAGCACTATATCTTTCCAACCGTGTAGGAACAACCTCCCCAACCGAGGCATTCCATGATCCCAATACTAAATTCTTGCACCCCTCCTCCTTTAGCCAAGCGTTCTCGAACATAAATTTCTGGTGCTGCCTAATAATTCTCAGAGCATCCAACTGAATATAGAGGGCCAAGTGATCTGTGGTTATTACCTCCTTATTATAAATAGTGGCATGCATAAACATATTGCACCAATCAAGATTAGCCACCGCACGATCTAGTCGTTCCTCAATCCAATGGTCTGTGCCTTTACTTTTTTCCCATGTGAATTTTCGTCCCTGCATGCCAAGATCAATAAGTACACAGTCGTTGAGTGCATGATTAAATCCATCAATTAAGGACTGTGGATGTGGATTCAGACCACATTTTTCAGTTGATGAAGCAATGTCATTAAAGTCCCCTGCAACTAACCAAGGTAGATTAGACTTAGGGAGAAGAGTGTGCAATAGATCCCAAGGTTGTTGCCTTCGAGAACTATCAGAGTAACCATAAAAACACGTTAATCTCCAGGGTTGTTGCTAGGCAGCCGCACCTGATTATCAATGTGATTTTTCGAATAGCTTATGAGACTCGTTACGCCTCTATCCCGCAAGAATAAAGCCAACCCTCCGCTTAGACCACCACCATCAACATAAAATAGTCCATCAAAATTTAATTTAATCCTTAGGCGTTCAGCATGATCGCATCGCACCTTTGTTTCCATTAAAAAAATAAACATTGGCTTGACCTTAGCTTCTAAGGCCACAATCTCTTGAACCGTGCGTGGGTCGCCAAGTCCACTACAGTTCCAGCTAATCGAACTCATTGGGTCGGGTGGGACTGGGCTGCACCAATTCTCGCCAATGACAAGTTTTTTGGCTCAACATTTTCAATATCCATAGGGATGCCATTATTATTCACCACAACATTCACCACGTCCGTCCCTGTACTATTAATCTCAATTGAAGGCTCAGTACGGCGTCGCTTCTGTTCGAAAATTATAACAGAATCATCCTCGGAATTAGTTACCTCTTTTTCAGCAATAGTCTCGCTAATTACCATATTCCCAATTGGGTTGACTTGCATGATCTCCGGGCAGTACCATGCACACTTATGGAAAGAGAATCATTTGTGACATTCTGGGGAGACTTTCCTTTCTCAACAATGTTTGTGCGCAATCCCGGCGAGATCCACTGACTTCTTCCAAGAGAGGTTTCCGGTGCAATCCAGCTATTACCCACCGGTGGGATAATGCGACTGCCACCAGCTCGGAGGTCTGCACCATAGGGTTTCTCCGCTTTCTTATCCCAGCCCTGTGAGATTTTATGACAGAATTTATCACTATGACCAAGGACACCAAAAATGAAGCAGAAGGTGGACAGGCGCTCATATCGGAAGTTGACTCGTAGCCATTCCCCATTATCCTTCCGTAGCTTCATGCCTTTTTCAAGGGCTTAACAACATCAATCTCAACCTTGATGCGAAAGAAGGTTCTTAGCCCTCCATCAAAGTTTCATTCATCTATCTGGATAACACGGCCAATATAGCCACCGATAACATTCATAACAGATTCAGATCGAAAACCAGCAATGAGACCATGTATTTGAATCCAAAATTGGGTTGAGTCTAGAGTCACCGAATCTGGATCTACATCCAAAGGTATCTGTTTGAGAATCAGAAGACTTTGCTCGAACGCCCATGGCCCATCATCAATAATACGTATTAGTTTATTGGGGCAATAATAAGCCAAAATCTAAAAAGTTAAGAAAAGTAGAGTATTTTATTAACTGATTGACCTGAATTACAAAATGACCATTTTACCATTGCCATGCCTAACATTTATATCTCTCTTGTTGTTGTTCATCAGCATTGGCCCCCTTTTTTTTTTTTTTTTCTGTTTCCGTAACAACAATATTAATGTTTTTCTTTCTTTTTGATGCCACACATAATAATAATAACAATAATAATAATAATAATAATAATAATAATAATTATTATTATTATTATTATTATTATTATTGATGGGGTGAGAACCCCGGCCCAAGAAAAGAGGCCCAGAAAGAATGCATGGGCCGGGTCCAGGACTCGGCCCAGGTCTGAAGAAGGAGGCCCAGTTCAGAGCCCAGAAGGACGGCCCAATGCCAAACGGGGACGAGGAGTCGGCCCAGGTCCGGCCCAGGAGAAGACTCGGTCCAGAGAGCCGTTGAGGGAGCCTTCAGAGCAGTCAAGGCAAGGAGCCGTTGAGGCATTGAAGGTCGGACTCGGTCCGCCAGTTACTAGCCAGAGAGAGCCGTTGGCAGAGTCCGTAACGTCGCCCAACGGCTCGACACATTGAATGTAATCTTTAAGTCGGCCATCATGGGCCTTTAAGACAGTAGAGGAGGAGCCACTATAAAGAGGGCTCCTCCACCCTTGTAAGAGAGAGAGGGGAGAACCCGGAGAGGGAATAGAGAGCACTATTGAGCATCATACTTCACTAAAAATTTAGACTTTTTGTGAAAGGTGTATCCTCCAGCTTAAGGTTGTGTTGGACCTCCTTGGGCCCGAAAACCCAAAAACCATCACTGGCGCTGTCTGTGGGGATCGATCTGAAGAGTCACGTGTCCTCTTGAGTAAGGCGAGTCCGAGGAACAATAGTTGAATCAGGCAAACTCCAGACATGGCTGGAAGCGAGGAACAGTCGAGCCGTCAAGACAACGGACGAGAGGCCGACTTGAGAAACCAGCTGAATAGGAGAAATGCCCGAAGCCATGAAAACGAGATTACACCGCCGCCGACGCCGCTGAGAAACCCGCAATTACCTCAAGTGCTGCTCACCCCGGAGCAGTTGCGTGCAATCGGACGCGCCTGCGCGGAAGCGAGCCTAGGAGTGAGAGAACAGTCCATCACTCGCCAGCTGCAACGCGAGTTGCAACCGCCTCAGAGGCCGGACAACCGGAAATTAAGCCGACGGGCTGAAAGCCAACCGGTGCTATCCGTTCATTCCCGGCTAGGTCCCAGCGTCGGACGTCGGTCGGCAAGAGAGCGATTAGGCCGGAAGGAGCCCAGTCGTGCCCCGTTGGTCGCCCGCGACCGACAAGCTGCACGAGGGAAGAGCCGAACCAAAAGAACCAGGACTGAGACTCGTCGCGTGGAGCAACCTCCTCGCAACCCCGTCCAACCGGCTCAGTCTGAAGTCGGCGAAAGCACGGAATCCACGGGAAATCGCACCCGGGAGAGGATCGAAGTGGCCAACCTAGTACAGGAGGTACGAAATCTGAAAGAACGGATGGAGGGAAAAACCAAATCCCCAGGACGTACGTTGCTGACCGCCTTACCCTTCTCAGACGAGGTTATGGCCTTTAAGATACCGAGCGACTTTAAGTTCCCGGAGCAAGCCACATTCGACGGATCAGGCGACCCGCGAGAGCATCTATTGAGTTACCAAGCTAAGATGCAAGTCCTAGGAGTGCGGGATCCGGTCATGTGCCGTGCCTTCTTACCCACGCTGAAGGGGCCCGCCCAAAGATGGCTTGTAGGTCAGCCCCCAGGGTCGATTCACAGCTTTGAGGAACTGGCAGACCGCTTCATGAGCCACTATGCCGCTAACATCAAGCCACAGAAGGATCTGACGCACTTAGGCGACATCCATCAGGATGAAGGCGAGTCCTTGAAAGCCTATCTTGCTCGCTGGCAAAAGGAGATCCAGTCAATAGAAGAGGTGGAGGACCAAACAGCGCTCACCTTCTTCATTGAATCTTTGCGATCCGGATAGCTGTATCGAGACCTAAGGGACAACCGCCCGGCGACATACGCGGAGGCTGTCCAGATGGCCAACAAGAGGGCCAACACAAAGCAGGCCATGAAGCATAAACGGCAGCGCGAGGTCGGTGGGTCCGCCAGCGGAAAAAGGACGCGGGTGGAAACGAGAGAGAGGCGCTCGGATGCGGCCCGGCGACCCGAGGTCAGGCGACCGTATGACCGCCCCGTCGTTCACACCTATCGACCGGTTCCAGAGCGACCGGTCCACGAAGTACAGGCAGTCGCCCCGCCTCCGCCTCCGCCGATTGACGACCGTGCAGTAGACGAGGATACTGGTAAGACTTCTAAATATTGTCGCTATCACAAAACTTATACTCACAGCACGGAAGAATGCTACTATCTAAAGAAGATCATGGAGGGGATCATCCAGCAAGGGACGCCGCCCCCTAACCAATGGAAGCGAAGGTCGACCAGTCGAGGAGGCGAGGGAC